TTGAAATTTATTGCCTAAATGTGTACTTGTGTAGAAGGATATAAACCCTAAGGGCATGCATGAGAAGTTATGACCTTACTTCAACGATTGGGGAGTGATCTTTGGTAAGGAACATGCCACTGGAGAGTATGCGATGGATTTAGAAGACATGGTCGGTGATGTTGAGGTGGAAGCTTCTATGCGTAAAACCGATAACATGGAGGGACTAGATAATTTCGGCGAGGATGTCCTTGCCTCACATAGAGCGACAAATCCGATTGGACAAACTATTGGTGTTGAACCCAGTGTTGGAACTCTATCAACAAGTAAGGGAAAAAAAGAAGAAGCAAAGGTGATTGGTATTGTGCCTGAGTCGGTTGCTTAGAGTTTGGTGAACATCTCGAAGGTGTTTGGTGAGTACGTGCATGATTGGCGAAATCAACTGGACATGATAGCACACCGTGTTGGATATCATCATGATGTTGTTGATGCTTGTAGGAAAATAAATGCCGAACTGGAGAAGATAATGATCTGTCAATGGTTGATCGACATGTTGCCCTTAAAAGTATTTGTTCAGGCCCTGTAAATGTTGATATCTTCTTCAGCTTGAATGTTCAACTTGGGTTGGAGGACTTCTATGGATCACACCTCGTACTTGATAGAGATAGCGGTGTATCGGTTGACGAACCATTAAAAACAATCTCTGCCCTTTTTTGTTGAACTTGTTTTTATTGTATAATTATGTGTGTATGGACACATATATGTAACATGCCCCTTTTTTGGTTGTACTGATGTGTATGAAAATTCACCACTTCGCATGCTTGGTTGTGTTTTAATTGGTCATTTGTATGATACCATGCATATAGACAATTTTTTAGTTTTGGTCATTAACAAGCAATGTTATGGTGTCAGTAGCAATGCACAGACGCGAACGATAGTATGTCGTATTTGTAGGCTGATAGGTTGGAATTTACCATTCATGACTAAAGTGTCATGTACATGTGTATAGGTTTCTTGGTGCGCTTTACAAGTCATATGATTCCTACAATGAGGCTGAGATTGCGTTACGTATTCACCTTAGGAGTATGGGAGCAAAAACAGTTGGTGCAGATGGTGATGATGTTGCAGTGGAGGAGAATGCAACGTTAGACAATATTAATGAAAAAGTTGCAATGGAAGATGTGGTACCACCACCTATCATTGTGCAAAGGTGTGCATATCAGCGAGATATTATGTGGTGCATGATAAGTGTCATGATGTTACTTTTGGGTGTAATACTCACCCATTTTGTGTACTACTTCTTGGATAAAGTTGGATGAGTGTTGACTTTTTTGTAAGGCCATGCTTAGGTTATCTATGCACTTGTTCCATTTCTAATTACTTCTTGGAGTTGTGAAAACAAAAAAGTATGTTGGTATGTAAGGGCTTTTGTATTGTGGAATTGTTACTTATCCATCTGTGTATAATCAAATCACATGTTTGTTTTATTTTACCATCTTCTGTACTACGTACTTGTATATTTATATTTGTGATTGATGCATCTAATATGAAGTTGTTATTGTGTTACTTAGGGATGAAGATACCAAATATAACTGCTGATGAAACTGAAGTCATGATTGATACTTTAATTGAGTACAAACATCGGAACCTTTTATCTTCATACGGTAGATATGACAAGAAAACTCTGGATCACATGTTAGATGTCCTACATGGGCGTCTGTCAGGCTTTAGCCTCTCATTGAGCGAGGATTTATGCATAATCTTTTTTTGGGTGCGACAATATTTCACAATTTCTGAGATGTCACAGACAGACAAAGTTTTCTGGGACAATTGCACTAAATGTGTCATAAAAGGAGAGGTGGAGGGATTTGGAAGTAAGTGTACTTTATTAATTTCTATGAAAAGTACTTACTTTTTTTTTGGTTCCTTTTAAGTAATAACTCGTTGTTGATTACATAATACATGAAGTACAATTTGTTGTAGATTACTATCTAGACCCATGTCCCAACTATCAATATTTTGAAGTCATTTTAAAAAATGATGTTCTACCATCAAACGCACAACCTTCTGAAAGTGTAGGATCGTCTCCATTGGTGAATTCCGCCCCAACCGTTGATGTTATAATCATTGCCAATTGATTTCTTCCAGTAACCCCTACATCGATACGGAATTTACTGTTACAATCCACAAGTCATTTTGGTATATATGTAACTATGCTTGTGGAGCTACGGGATGTTTAAAGGTTACTTTGTGTTAACTATATGTTGTTTGATCATCTTGTGAAGGCATGTATATGTATTTCTATTACATTAACAACATTAACCATATTGCCTTATTTTGTGGTGGAGGGTCTCCAAAAAGGCAAAGTGTATGCATTATTTTGTTGTGGAGGGTCTCCAAATAGGCAATTTGTACGCTGTATATGAACGACTGTAAAATAGGGACCTTTTGTCTACCATTGTCTTTTTTTTATGTACAAGCATAATTTTCGGATTATAATTATGCGTTTGTGTTGTACATTTTTTTTTTTGCATGATGCATATAATTTTTGTGATTAATTGTGTATTGTACATATTAAATTAAATACATTATAAACATAGTTTTTGCAATATGTTATAAAAATGCATAATTTATTGAATCATATTTTTTCCCCTAAATAAGACTATTATTGGATTGGACTTTTTTCATTACATTCCAAACTTAGTATAAGATTGGATTACATTTATTTATACAAGGATGCAATGGTCATTTTAGTATCTTTTATCTTCACATGTAAATGGGGTCCACAAACTAAATGGTTTCTATCCAAAGATGGGATCAGATTTGATACATTATATTATGAATCCTCCAAACCGGACCACTTTGCATTGTGTTAGATTGGATTCGGATTCAAATTCAATCCAACTCAATCCTTGGATGGTGATCCAAACACCACCATAAGGTAAAAAAATGTTATCAGGCATTATTGTCTTTTTCAATGCTAAATGATCTACACCAATACAAGAAGACATTCAAGCCAATTGACATTAAAATGAAATCCTTACTTTTAATGTGGGTCCATTAAAAAACCAAATTATAATATGGTCCTTTTTAATACTTCATGATATAAAAAAAAAAAAAAAAGATAAAAGAGCATTTAAGTCAAGTAGGTCATTAATCAAACATGGTGTTGGATTGTTGAAGAATCAATCCAAGTAAATCCCGATTCTTCAACTACTACCCAGGAGAAGCTGTTTGCTGCTAACCAGGAGAAGCTGTGATCCTAAGATCACTCTGTTGCACACTCTGTATAGTTTGAATTATTTTGAATTCTGTTGGCAGCTCCAACTGTCTACAAATACTTAGGCAATTGTATAGAACATTAGTTGTGACGAAACACTATATAATCTGTATGAGGTTCAGCAAAAAATATTTTCTAAACTTTCCCCAAAAGTCTTACATGGATTGAGTTTGAATGGATACTCCAATCTCATCTAACCAAATACTTGAAACAAATATGCCTTGAGTAGGTTTAATCTGAATTTTTAGAAAATTTTAGTCATTCATTTAAGAATTTTTAGAAATTTAGAAAGAGGTATTGTATGAAAGTTACAATTAAATCGGGTCTAGTTATGATTTGTAGGATCAAATTATAACTCAAATAAATCAAAGTATGATAACATAACAAAAAATTAGAATCGATCCTCACATCTTTAAATCAATGTCAAACATTTATTGTAATATGACCAAATTGAGTCATGACATCACTCTTATTTTAGTAATGCATGTGTTCGAATTTCACCGTTACTTTAATGATCAAAAGATTTGTATGTGTTATGTTTAAAAATATGAAAATTGGGGTTGAATCCTCTTTAAGGGATTTATAATGAGTTTAGTCCGCTAAGAAAACTTATTTGGGCGTAAGTCTGTTTTTAATCTTACTAATAAGTAGTTAAATACACTATTTTTTTAAAACTCCAAAATGCCCTTTTAATGACTTAAAAATCAATCTTCAACATTAAATTAATTTCTTAAATAGTCATCATTGATTCACACATGGAAGATTTTTTTCCATAAAATATGAAATTCAAATTTAAATTTGACATCACTACCATTTCTCTCTCTCTCTCTCTTTCTCTCATTTTTTTCTTACTGAAAAGACTATGATTAATTTACTATAAAATGTTACTATGCATTTTACTATTTTTTTTTCATATTAATATTTTTTTGTTGCACATGTTACTATTTTTTATTGAACATGTTACTATATTTTTATGAGTATGTTACTACTATTAATATTAAATGTTACTATTTTTCTAAAATATTAATATTCAATATTACTTTTTTTGTTGACCATTTTACTACTGCTAATTTTTTCAAATATTAATATTCAATGCTACTATTTTTTATTTTTAAATATTATTTTTTTGTGTTTGAATGTTACTATTTGTTATTTTTAATATTTTTATATATATATATATATATATATATATATATATATATGAGGGAGAGAGAAATAAATAGTCCTATTTTATATATGGAGTTGTTAATTTTCAATTTTTTTTGTAATTAAATATAATTAATGAGGATATTTTAGACAATGTAAATCAAAATAGACTTAATATTAAACAAGTTTTCTTGATAGACTTATCACCAAATAAGTTCACAAAGGAAGATCGGCCTCCAAATTTCCATATAAAAATCTAGTTTATACATGAGGGAACATGTTGAAGAATAAATATTGTGTTATATCGGCTCAGTTGAGAAGAAGATCAGTCATTCCTTTGAGACTGATACACATTCAAGCATGATATTGAAAATTGGCAAAACAGATTTCTAAAAAAAAAAAAAAAATGTCGATATATTAAAATATAAAAATAACAACTAAAAGTGTATATTGGTACGGGGGGGTTCGAACACTTTTCTCACTAATAAAAATAAATAAATAAATAAAGATTCAAAAAATAAATAAAATCCACTAGCCTAAATATAATCTATAAAACTTAAATTTGCAATTCTAAAGACTACATGAAAAGAAAAATCTAGCAGACAGCCTCTACCACAAGCCTCTTGGTAATGTCTCCACAGTTCGTTGATCCAAAAACATCTTCAGAAGCTGTAACTGAACATGTCTCTTTACCAACACATGCCTACAAAATCAAAGTGCAGGGAATCAAACACCTTACCCATAAGAACTTTTCAACAAAACTCAAAATGAATTTGATGGAAAAGGTGCATACATTTTGGAGGATGGCCAATGCATCATTGTTCCCTTCACAGCTACCTTTCTCAAAGGATCCACACCTGCCTTGAGGGTCACCGAAGCTAGCAAATCGGATAGCAGAAATTGGACGACCTTCACATGATAGTTCTATTTCCTTATTTTCATAGGCATTGCCACATGCTGTTCCAACACTAACAGTCTGAAAGTTTACTAGCGACGGATTGCCTCCAAATTCTTCGAAAAGAACCAACTCGTTCACACCATCAACCATAAACGAACGTGGAACATGGTACCTGAATATTAATCATACACAATCAGATCAAAATAACTTTAAACATAGTATAAAATCCAACATATTTGTAGGCATAATAAGAAAGATTTCTCACCATCTCTGTGTAGGTTGGCCACAATTTGAGACACATTTGTTATTATTATAGGAACCACGATAATCACAGGCCTCGGTGGAGCAACCATCCTCTTCTGCCAAGTAACTTGGCCAGTATCGACCAATGCTGTGGCCATTAACCCAAGCATGGCCTTTGCCAAGACCTTGCAAGTCCAAAACTACTGGTTCCTTGCCCAAAGGAGCTTTGAATGTTGTCTGATACAAACAAACATATTATAAAATCAGTTGATGTAACACACTAATATAACCTGTAAAAAAAACAAAAATTGACAAATCTGAGTTACCTTGTACCAAGTCATCCTCCTCTCTGTGGGAAGGTCTGCTGCTTGCCATATAGAAGCATAGTGCGAGTCCGTGCTATACAATTTATCATCTTCCCCATTCAATCCAACCTTGTATGACCAATTGTGTGCTGACAAGTCCTTTATGATGCTCTCATCACCTTTCCTTCCGATTATCTCAACCGGACCAGGTATTCCAGTTTGTATTACATCAAATTTTGGACCATAGTTCTGCTCAAAATTTAAAGTAAAAAAAGTTCACAAATTAGTCTGCAAAAACCTAATTGCTACTCATTTTGCTTTGGAAATTGGCTGAATGGATAGTTTTTGTGGGCAGTAAATGATTGCAGAAGTTCATTTTGTTTTTTGATTTATCAAGTCCTTTAGTAAAATCAATGCTACTAAGAAAAAATGACATGGATTCATAAGGTACCTGCAAACCAATGGTGGCACTGAGCAGAGTGATCTGATTTCTTCCAGGGTTCAATTTAATCTTCTTTTCAAATACATAATTGAATATTCCATAGGTAGCCCATTGGGAACCTTCAATTCAACAAATATTTTGAAAAATATGAGGATTAAAAATAATAATTCATATTAATAACTGCAGTTCACATAGAAAACATAATATATTACCAAGATATTCTCCATTGACATAGGCGTGCAAGATGTGTCCAGTGCCGTTCACTCTAAGGCTCATATCATCACTCCAGATTGGATCATTCTTATCCAGGTTAAGACTATAACCAACAAATTAAGAACATAATGTAAGCCCGATAATCAAATAAGAACAACCATTGAAGTAAAAAAGCAAAGTGTTTATCGAAAGAGAAGTATAATTACCTAGTCATGTACCATAAATAATCAGTAACATCATTGGCAACCTTTTGATCTACAAGGTGACTTGCAGACACAAGGCCCTTGCCTTGAAGGACAGTATCATCAATGTTCTCAGGCCTCCACACCCACTTCAAAGCAATTGGCTCATTTTCTGCTTCATTTGGCTTCTTTACCATCACAGAAGTTTGAGTATTTACCTATATATCACAGATGAATAAGCATCTTTTTGGAAAGTACTATTCACACTTTCCTTCTTGACTACGACAATCAAATACTGACAGATTCAATTGAAAATTTTACCTTTGCCGTATTATAAACTTCATTCTTACAATCAGGAAGGATACTGACAGACCAAGCAGGAACATTATATTCACCACCAAGGTAGTTCACTGTAGCATCAGAGGTGGTGTTGGCATTGCCAAAAAAGCAGCTTGCTGTTTCATTAAGGACATAAACTGTTGCCTACAAAAATTCAGAAATAAATATTAATTTGGATTTATATTTGGTGTAATCACCTAACATACTGTCAATAACATAATTTATCCCCTGATTTTGTTTTTTACTTACTGAAACAGAGTTTCCAAAATCAATGTTAGTAACATCTCCATATGTCAGAGTCTTCTCCATCGACTTCAACACATTATGGAGTTCCTTCAAGTGTCCCCATTTTGGTTGATTCAAATTGCCTACAGAAATATGAAATATAAATATCATTTTAAAATACAAGGCCATAAGATATTACTTGTTGCTGTAGAAAGTCTGGTAAAAATTTAATTCATGAGGTTACCGAATTCATCAAGAGGTGCATCATAGTCATAAGATGTAGTAATGTATGGACCGCCAGCAGTTCTACCAAAATTAGTCCCACCATGATACTGTCAAAAAAAAAGGATTATGTCAGAATCATGCCATATATCACCATTGCCAAATATTAAACAACAATAAGAATTCAAACTGCATTAATCAAACATGAATAATTGATGTGGTCTCTCAATCTTGATTGCAGGAGTTCAAATCTCCTTATTTTGAACAAAGAAAGAATCTAATACGAACCATGTAGTAGTTCTGGAAAGTGCCTCCTAGCTGGAAAAATCGCGCAACAGCAAAAGCAACATCCTCAGCCGTTCTATGTGGATCTTTACCACCCCAACTCTTGAACCTAAAGCATCAAATACAAAGTTTCTTAGAATTACTTCAGTTTATTCATCCGATGCCAAGAAATTAATCATATCTAGAGAACTATAACTATATATATGCATGACAGGAAAATAAACTAACCATCCAGTCCAGTTTTCTGTCCACATCTTAGGGCTATTGGGGCTGTTAGGTGTGAACTGATCACAGTACCAGCCATTGCATGTGTTTATCTGTTCAATACAATAATGTCAAAAAGTTAATTTTGAATATAATAGAATCTGCATTTCCAATATAGGTGTGGGAGAGAGAGAGAGAGAGAGAGAGAATCTGAAGTTTTAGTTTAAAGAAAATAGGTGTAAAAAATACCATAGGCTGTGGTGCATCATTCTGTTGGCACATAATCCATGGAATTCCAATATCCATGGATTGAGCCATATTTGAACACCAATCAAGATAGGCTTTCCCAGCAAGTCCATAGGATGAAATCACATTGCCATATTCATTCTCAACCTGTTTTAAATAACTCCTAAATTAGTATATATATATATATATAAAAAAATGAGAGAATATCAACAGTAGAAAAATACATTACTGTACACACCTGAGCAAGTATAATAGGACCTCCCTGTGATGCAAAGAGCTTCTCTTGCTTGACCATGTCCACTATTAAGGATGTGAAATTTTGCATCTCATTCTGAAGAACATAAAAAAATATTTATATATTTAGAAAAATCTGAATTATTTTTGATGAAAAAATTGAAGAATAATGGTGATAATTACCATGAACGCAGTATTGACAGTTCGGAACTCAATGTCTGGGACATTGTGCAGCCATACCGGGAATCCACTAAACAAAGGCGAAAATACATTGGGTACAATTGGTACTGGTGAAAATCTAAGAGACAAAAAAGAAAGTAAAAAAAAAAAAAAAAAAAAAAAAAA